TAGACATGTCCATTTCTTGAACACAGAACATTTTGGCTTGTTTGCCGCTGAGAAGAAAGAATTGTGCCACTGCTTTGTCATAGCTGTATTTTGAAAGCAAGGCGTACTGGGACATTGCTGTATGTATGGAGCTAGCTAGCTAGGCTTTCCTGTCCTCAGAAATGTAAAAGTAGACTTAAAAATCAGAAGACATGCTAATATGCTTGAAGTTAATCATGGGCTTTTTGCAAAACTGGGACCCAAATTAATGTATAAATAACTTCAACAAAGACAACAAAACTCCTTTTTGACTCTGAGCTTATAGGAAATCTCATTTTTCTCACTGCCTTTTTAAAACCTAGGAAAGAAGAGTTCTGGATTTAACTTACCTCATTGTTCACAGAGATGCTAGAAATGGAAAGGCGCATTACAGCAGGTCAGATCTCTCCCTGCCACTCCATTTAAGTGGCATATTTCTTTAACTTGTCAGAAATGAAAAGCAAGGGAAAAATCTTTAGACCGTCTTTGTGACAATACTGCCAGTCAGCATCAGTATTGTATATTATTGAAAGATCTAATAAACTCATAAACTACCAGGGTTTTGAGCTGTAGATGAGGTAGTCTGTACTTTTGTGATCTAATTTACTTTCTTCCTTTTTTCATTTCTAAATAAGGAGAGAGAAAAAAACCTTGATTAAAAAGACTGAACTGACCGGATCAATTCAGGTGAAGGGAAGATGAGCTCTTATTCGTTTTCCTTACAGTGCTGCCAAAGTCATGATAGCTATTTGTCTACGTAAAAACACAAGTGTATCCTCCTAGCATGTACTTTTCAATGACACCTGTTAAACTCAATGCTCACAGAGACAACACTGCAGGAGCAGTCCTAGGCCTTTTCTGATTCGGTATGTTTTAGTGTAGGGTTGCTACACTGAAACTGATCAAGTCTAGAAGTGCTTTCCTCACCTCAGTCTTTACTGGTGAGATTGCCTTCAGGAATCCTAGGTTCCAGAGACCAGTGGCAAAGGTTGGAGCAATGAAGACTTACCTCAGTACAGTATCAAGTCAGGGAACTTTTATGCAAGATGGCCTGAAAACTGAATTGCTGGCTTTAGAGGGTTGTAATCAGCAACACCGAGTCCAGCTGGAAGCTAGTTGCTAGTGAGATACCCTAAGAACCAATACTGTTTAAACTTTTTATTAATTATCTTAATGATGGACAAAGGGCATTCTTAATAAGCTTACAGTTATTACAAAATTGGAAGGATTGTTTGATAGGAAGGCATGCATCAGGTGCCAGGGTCTTCCTGGCGTTTCCTGGCTGGAAAGCAGCTCTGCAGAGAAGTGTCCAGTGGCCCTGTCAGGCAAATTGAACACAACCATCACTGCATGTCACAGCAAAGATGACCAACATCTCTGTGGGCTGCACAGGAGGAGCATCGGCAGCAGACAACAGAGGTCATCCTTCCCCTGCTCAGCCCTGGTGAGACTGCACCCGAAGTACTATGTACAGTTTTGGGCCCCCTAGACAGAGACACACTAGAGCAAGTCCCACGGAGGGCCCATGGGATAATTCAGGGACTGAAGCATGTGGCACTCAAGGAGAGACTGTGAGAAGTGGAATTGTGTTACCTGGAGAAGAGAAAGCTCAGAATGTAACTTAATAATGTGTATACATACCTGATGGGGAGGACTGAAGAAGAGCTAGACATTTTTTGGACAGTCTCAGTGAGTTTGAGTCTCAGTGGTGCCCAGTGACTAGACAAGGACACAGTCTGAAATGCAGGAAATCCTGTTTAAACATAAGAAAAATCATTTTTATTGCGAGGGTAGTCAGACACTGGAACAAGCTGCCCACAGGGGTTGTGGAATCTCTGTCTTCAGGGACATGCAAAATGTGACATGTCCTGAGCAGCATGCTCTAGCTGTCCTGCTTTGAGCCAGGCTGTTGGAAGAGACAATCTCCAGAGGCCCCGACAACCTCGGCTGTTCGTGATTTCCTACATCCAGGAGTCAAAGACAAACCAATGGTAATTTTTAAAAGAGAAAATATGACTGCTCAGTTCCACCTCCCAAACCTGCGCTATTCTTTCACTTCTCCATTTCTTTTGAGCCCGAAGACCCTTCTAAAATTGTAAGAAAAGTTTAAAAGCTAAGGCAAAAAAATTAAGTTTCCTATCTGTTATCATTATGGCTGATGCAGTGAAAACCAATATGTTCTTTATGCTTTCATTCAAAAAATTACTTCCCCAGGCAAATGAAAGACTGAAATTGGCAATGCTGATTTAATTTCTCAAATCTGGCATATAGGCCCACACTTCCAGGATGCCAGCAGGCTGTGACTTTTGTTTTAACATGAGGTACATTTTAATTATGTTCTCTCTGGATTTTCTGTTAATTAATCGGAAAAATTCAAAGAGTTAATTAAAAATACAAACTTTTTTTGGCTCCATATCAAACCCGACATTACATTCTTTTTATCTACACAACAACAATTGTTTGTGATCAGATGTCTCAGTTATTAATGATAGTTTCGTCTTTTTTTTCCTCCTCCTTTGTTCAATGTAAAATCCTGTAACTTTTTCCTTCAGTCAAAGTGAAAGCAATATTAAGTCTTGGAAGTGAAACTTACCAAAGACATGTAGCTCTGTGAAATCCTTGTCCTGTAATCCTGGCTTTCTATTCACCACCACTATTCAATATCTCACTTTCTATATAAGCTTCACAATATCTAAGCAGTTGATGAGATGTATTGGTTATATTCCTGCTCTCTTTCTTCAAAAAAAAAGCTTTGTCCATCCCTGTACTCCCAGAGGAGTAACATTGATGTCTGTGATTGTTTCTGCTAGGCTCGCTAATCCAGCAGCTCCTGCAAGACGCTGGGCAGTTGGTAGAGGTGGAAAGCAAGGGGGGGGGGGGAGGAGAATTGCCCTCATGAAGATTTAGGATAGCATGAGTAGTGAGTTTTAAAAGCACTGCTAAGGTCCAGTTAAATAATTATGAACTAACGTGGTTGATTGTAAGAATAGAAACAGTAACAGGTCGTTTTTGAAAGATGCTTTACAAATTAAAACAGGGCTGTAGTGTGTCGGACCTTTCTAAGGAACTGAACAGAGTTAATTCTGGACTTTTTTGGAGGCATGACAATAGAGGAGATAGAAGTTGAATCTGATCTATGCTAATGAGTCCTACATTTCCTATGTGCAGTATTTCTCCAGATGCCTGTAGCAGCTCCATGAATGTTTTCCTTACAGCCCCTGACTTCATCTGTCATGGTATTTTCTCTTAAATAACCACATTTCTGGGTAGATCTGTAAAAGCTTTCTTATTTCTTATTAAGGTTAAAATGGCAAAGCACATTGTTGTTGTTAAGCTCTTTGTCTCTAACCTTTTAAAAGGAAAGCGCTGCCATTAAGGTGAAATTTAAACACACAGAGAATTCATTATGCAAATAGTGCACACGCCAGATGATCTGAAGGAAGCCTGCACATTTCCATAGAAAACAAGTGTGAGTGTAGGAAGGCAGATGCTTCCTACCAACAGAGTGTACATACAGTTCTCAAGAGGACCAGAGCAGCAATTTATTTTCAGACTGCTGGAAGTATGCAAATTCCTACAGAATTAAATGTGAATTCGAAAGAAATGACATCTATTAAGGACAAGACAGCCCAAAGAGACAACTGGGAACTTAATAATTTAATCAAGAACCTTAAGAGGCTCTTCTGTGCATCCAAAGGCAGTGACTCAAATGTCATCTCACTTTAGCAAGGACATAAGTGGTCCATCGAAAAGCATCACCTGACCACTTGACCTGCTCTTTGGTACAGTCTGTGATACAGCTGTGGTGTGTGGTCAGAGCTAGGTTTGCTGTTTCTAACTTTCAGTAATTCACCCTAGAAAAGTCTGAGTTGGTTTCTGTCCTGACACACACGTTATCACCACATTCATTAATTAAATTCTTTCTCCTGGACTTTTTTCCCCCTGACCTAGATGAAACTAGATGGAATGAGATGGATGTTACTGAGGCTATAGCCTGAAGGCAGGGGAACGGTACTAAGTGCAGTGGCATGATTTGCACAGGAGCTGTTACTGGTGAGCCATTAGCCAGCTGCTTGAACACGGGGAGTTTTTTCTCTCCTTTCTACAAAAGTACAGTATTACTGGAGTGACAACAGAAGCACGTGGGATGGCAGAATTCAGTTGCCAGCCAGCGCTGCCCTGGCTTGTCCTCTTCATCTTTGCAGTGTCCGACTGTTCAGTTCAGCCTGCTGCTTTTCTGTCTCTTTACTTTTCCATTTAATGGCTCCATTTGCACGCAGAGATAGCCAGCTGGGGTCAGGGAGGGCAGGAGATGTTGGTTTAGTGGAAGTGCTGCATTGTACTTAGTGCAAATTTTCACTAAACATGTAAGGTCAAATATCCCCACTTAGATGCGCTGGAAGTGACACGTTTTCAGTCCATTTGAACTCCGTCTAAAGACAATGAAGGTCACTGCGTATAACGAAGAAATTAAGCATTCATATATGACAAGGTTTGGTCAGGGCTCTCATGGCAAGAAACCCCCTGTACAATGAGTGCCATCAGAGCCCCCTGTGCCAGCACAGTTCAGTAAGCAGAATGAGAGGCTGGGCTGTCTCATATGCTTCTCACACAGCCCACAAACAGTGAGTTTACTAGGTAAGTAGATACATTGCTACCTCATTGCAGAGCAGAAATTATTGAAGTGAGAGCTAAAATGAGTATGGTCAGCGAGGAAACACTGTGGTCACAAGGGTGAGATTGCCAAGTAAGGTCATTTCCAATGGAGAACAGCCCTGTGAGTCAGTCTGCTTGGTGTAGTGCCCATGTTTTAAAAATGTGTGTGACTGCATCATGTCTGTAAAGTCAGCTGTGTAATATTCATGCTCCCCATGGATTGGGCATAGAGGATTGCAAAAATATTCATTTTCTGTCCTATTTTTTACTGGTTGAAACTCATCCCCTTTCTTACACTGAGTAACGTAATTTTTTTCTTCACACAGGTTGTAATCCTTGGCAAACATTCTAGAGGCTATCACTACATGTTAGCAAACCTGGTAAGAACTTTTTTCTTCATTACAAGTATAGCTAAGGTTGAGAGGGTAATATATTCTGTTCAGGTTGTGTCAACTTTAATCAGCAGTAGAGAAAATGCCTGAGTGAGTTCTTGGATTATGAGAAATAACTTCAGTAAATACTGGGACTGGTAGGTTATAGCCATTTGTAGTCAATTATGGTCTGCATTTTATCTAAGCAGCTAATATCCTCTACTAATTTTAAAGTAATGATTTAATTATGTGTTTTCCACTAATTTGCGTCCTCATAAATAAGACACTTGGTTACCATAATCTTCTATGTAACATATTTGAAATTTAGCACTCTAGGAAAAATAATTGTAGGATATTTATGTATAAAATAAGTGATGAAAAGCAGCAAATTAAAACAATAATTCCACCAAGTGAAATGGCCAGACTGTTCAGCCATTTGTTTTTATTACAGAGTGAGAGTGTGGGTTGGTGACAGCATGTGTACTGACCTACCAGGATAAAACAAGACATTTTTATCTGTATCGGGACTACTTCTGGAATCTAAAATTGGCCTTCAGGGGCGTATGTGATGACTTGGAAACTGAATCCACTAGAGTTCCTTAGAATAAGTGTCATATTGTAGTGGATCCTTGCAGAATCTGGTTTTGGTTTCCGTGTCTGCTGTGAGCAGAAAAATGTTCTTCCAAAGATCACACTTTGGAGTTAGCAATCCCACTTGGTAGAATGTTCTCCGTATTCATGTTTTGATGTGATTAAAACAAGACAAATTTAAAAATATCCTTACTTAATATGAGTACTGCACCACTTTAAAATGTGCCATTTTGCTTCATAAGGATCAGTCGTGATCTGACTGATTAGACTGTAGAGTGTGCATAGAAACACGTGAGTTCTTACTCTGAGTTGCCTTTTAGCATGTGTAAGCACTGGCATTCAAGTAAACATGACTGCAATCAAGTCACGCTAATCAAAAAGACACCAATTTACTGCCACAGGTATAAATAACAAGAGAGTGGGAGAGAATCCTACCATTATGTTTGAAAGCAAAATGCTAAGCGGTGCACTGACTGACGGCTGCCTAGCCAGGAGATTCGTGCCTCGCCTCCGCAGAACAGCGTGCCTCTTCAGTGGCTTTCTGTTCCCAGCACTGAAGCTTTGCTGTTCAAATGGAAGTGAGATGTTGGACAGATTTGCACCATGACAAGGAAGAGAGGAAGAGGTGTTTCAGGCTTCCCTGCTGTTTTCTTTCTGACCAGTGGATGTTACGTGCGACACAGCCGTAACACGGCAGGGCAGTTTTCCATTGCAAAGGTCTAAACCTTAGGACATTTACAAATTCTGCTATCACAATCCCAACTGCTGTTGTGATAGTAATGGTCTCCGTGGCAGAATGTTCTCAGCCAGCAAGAACGAAATTCAGTGGTTTCTTTTGTGCCAAATTTCTAGCAGGTAAAACTGAGACAAAGAAAAGGTGGTTTAGATGGCAACAATTTTTGTTTTTTTACGTGTCCTCCCAGGGTTTCACAGACATTGTGCTGGAGAGGGTGATGCATGGAGGTGCCAATGTTACTGGATTCCAGATAGTTAATAATGAAAACCCAATGGTTCAGCAGTTTCTACAACGCTGGGTGAGGCTCGATGAAAGAGAATTCCCGGAAGCCAAAAACTCACCATTAAAGGTATTTATTTTATTCTGTCAACGGTGGAGATTAAATGAGTTACTTTAAAGCAATTATTTGTTATTTAACAATCGTATTAGTCCTCCAGTGCATAGCCTGTTTGTATAAAAAATAAAATGATCAGCTATTTTCCAGAGATACATCATACTGTAAGGTAAATGATGCTAGAAACTGCTCTCTAGTCCAGCCACCAAGAAAGATGGCACGGCCAAGCCCAAACTACCTTAGACATTAAACTACCTTAACATCTTTAAAAGGTGGTAGCACCCATTCTACCCATTGGTAGGTCCCATCGCATGCCTGGAGACTGGTGGCATAGAGTCTGAGCTGCCCCACAACTATTCCAGGATGGTTCTGATCACCAAACAACTGCCGACAGTTGAGTGCGACTGCCTTCACCCGTGTTTTGGCAGAGTTTAGTTCTCTAATCACATATAGACACAATCAAATGTGCGCTCAGACAGGAAGCACTCAGCTGAATTGGCATTCGAGATGACTTGTAATAAACACAGAAAAAAACATAAGTGGTGCTAAGTACAGTAATATGTATGTTGGGAGATAAAGGGGCCTCTTTCACAGTGCATTTAAATGCAGTGGGTTTAACAGACGTACCAGGGATAGTCTATTCAGAGTGGCCCTAATTCAGAAGAAAGGAGTGGACCGGACACTTCACTGCAGTCTCTTCCATCCCTGAGATCACGTGATTTCTTTGGAGAAGGAAAATTATCTCATGCCATCCCATGGCCTTGCTGGCATTTCAGAGAAAGCAAGGAAAGGCAAACAGGGCTTGGCTCAGTGTGTTCTTTCCTGTTGATTACAAACTACTCCCGCTTTCTAAAGCTTTCTAGGAGCGAGGCAGAAGTGAAGATAAGTGTTGTACTAACCTTAAAAGCTCTGAAAGATAGGAAGTTAACCTGGGAATATTTTGTTCCACTTGAAAGCAATTTACCTTGAGGGAAAAATTATTCTCTATCCTTAAAAAATAATCTTAAGTGTATCATACAAACATAGAGAATGTATTACCTTTCCACAGATGTACCGCTCATTATAGAAATGTGCACAATATTTGTCAATCAGACAAAAAGCATACTTAAAAATTGACGTACAATATTTCTGATTAGGAAATAAAATTGCCTAGAGATTAAAGCCCTGATGTTTAATTTATTCCGTATTTTATCAGCCTTTCCCTTCCCTCTCTCTTTTTTTTTTCTTTTCGTGTTCATGCATTTATAAGCAGAATTCAAATAAAGTAGAAAATTAGATAGCTCTCTTGGCATGACTTGGAAGGGATTGCATTAAGGTTACTGACAATTGACGCGTTCTGCTGAAAAAAATTATCACTGTAAATTCTATGTAGTGCTAGATTGGACAGCTATTACAAATTTCTTTTTTTTTTAGCACAAGAACAAATGCCTGATAAAATTAACACCACATCCTATGTTGTTCTGTGGAATGTGATATAATCTTTGTTAACTAACAAAACAGTTAAGAGGAGAGAGTGAGCACTGCAAGATTACAGGAAGAGGTAAAAGAGGGCAGGATCAAAAATTGCCTGTGCCTTGGCCCAGTCAGAGCAGGAACACCACACACACCAAATGAAAGTTTGTAAACTGCTGTCATTTAAAACTCAGTAAGAGAGGCTGCTTGTAACCTTCACAGTGCTACCTTTGCACTCCTTTTTCGTTTTGATCTGCACATGCAGGTATGCCTTGTTCTGTGCTGACTTCCTAAGGCTTTCTATCAAATTTGCAATAAGATGATACGCATTTCTAAGAAATGCAGACAACCAGTTGTGCTGTTCTGCCCTACAGGACATGCCTCTCCATTCTCATACAAAATAGTGGAAATGCGAAGGGTCACTCAGTTACAAGGGATTTGAAATCTGTTCTTCTAGACTGAGCACATTCAATTGCTGCCAGTGTGCACATGTTGAAATGGTTTCCCCTAAATTGCACAGACCCCTAAATTACAGGTGCACAGACTGACAGTGAACACCAGCAGTGTTATGTATAGAACCTTCCTTCCATCCTAGGAGGGAAGAACTTTCAGACAAGCACAGGAATGGGGCAGAAATGTTTTTTAAAAAAAGAAAAAAAAAAAAAAAAAAAAAAGCGATATTTTGGTAGTAATACATTGGGAGATGTCAGCAGATACATGCATCAAGCAATGGGTGAAGTTGACAGCAGCATGAACAATTCATTAAGGATTCCCAGGGTTTTGTAGAGGACTTGTTGCTACACAAAGCTTATCACCTTCCTCAGATTTACAGTGATGTGAGAGAAGGCAGATGGGCAATTACCAAGGAGATGTAATGCCTCACATGTGTTTTTTGATTGCTAGCTTGTATAGCCGTCTACTAAAAATGTTAACTGATCTATTCCTGGCCACAGATGCTACCTAATCAGTACTGTGGTCCAAACAGAAATGATTTATGTTAGCTTCAATTCAAAACCATCCTGACAGTGCTGTTGTAAAGAAAAAGAATTACTTCAAGGAATAAACAAATATGAGCTCTTGCTATCAGTAGCAACAGGGGCCGGCATGGAATTGCCAATTTTTGTAGTGATGTCATTTAGATGAACAAGCTTCCAGTTAAACTTATACTTTATGCAACTCTGAACTTGTTCTATTATTTTAATCCTTATTGTTATTATTTATTTTAATGTATTTTTATTATTTATTGTTATTATTTATTTCAGTTAGTCACTTGAAATAAATGGAATTGTTAAAAAAAAGGCATCTGTGGCAAGAGAGACAGAGAGCAAGGAAAAGGGCTTCTGAGCATGATTCTTATAAGAGTATATTAAAGATAGAGGGACAAGACCTTATGATAAACCTAGGGTGATTCTAAGATTACAGTCTGTCATCATGTTCTATTTGCATCAATTTCAGTATACATCTGCCCTGACCCATGACGCTGTCCTAGTCATAGCAGAGGCTTTCCGTTACCTCCGAAGGCAACGTGTGGATGTCTCCAGGAGAGGTAGTGCTGGGGACTGCCTGGCCAACCCTGCAGTACCATGGAGCCAAGGAATTGATATAGAAAGAGCGCTGAAAATGGTAAGGGCAAAAATACTGTGGCTATTGGATGTGTATATTTCACAACAGAAGCAACTCTACTGGGGCAGAGCTACTCCATATGCAGTTTCTGCACACAAGAACAGCTGATTCTCAGGACAGAACAAAACAAAAACAGCAAAACCAAACTTTATGACAAACTCCAAAGGATGGCTAAGACGTATTCAGTAGCAAGCAAGCCATAACTAGTTAGTTCTCAAAGAGTTGGCCAAAGTCACATCCCTGTAGGACCAGTGTAACCCCAGAGCATCTGTAAGCTGACTTTTCCAAGACCTTCTGCCTCCCATGACAGTGAGCATGAGCCAGTTTGGCATGTACTGAGGGTTTCTAAAGTCAAGCTCAGGCTGCAAAGATGACAATCAAAACCAGACTGGGTCTTCAGCATATGCATTGTGCATCATGCAGGGATACATATTTACTAGCTTGAAGACACGTATGTAATTTTTTTGTAGACATAAGAGACAAGAATAAAGTGTGCTTTTGATCTGGCTCAAGTAACTGTAAAAACATTCGGATAATTAAGTGACTGTAAAAATTTAGGCATGAAACTGAAGTGAGTGAGATCAGAACTAAGCCCCTGTTAGGTAAAAACAAATCCTGGGTCAGACTTCTTAGTTTACTGATGGCTTTTTTGTCGCCGAAGTGAAAAGATTATATCCAAAGGTTTATTCTCCCCCTCATTTGCTTAAGGAGAGAGACAGTTCAGTCTCACATTGTCAGAGCTATTCTTATGCCATTAGGTTGCACCCTAACAAATGCACTACCTGCATATTCACTCATGTAGCATTGCCCTCATTTGAAGAAACGTTATCTAAAGTTAATCTTCATAATAGTTAAAGAATTTGTACTGTCTATTTGAACTTTATTGTAAGTGAAACATAAAACCTCTTTGAATGAGATACAAAGCATGAATATCAAGAAAGAACATGAACACTGCCATAGGACACTACGTCATGTAGAGAATATATTTGAAAAAATGTCAATCACAGGATATACAAAGCCCAAATCACAACTGGCACAAAAGTAGGTGTCAAACTTCCAGCAGGTTGTAAATGAGGTTCATGTCATCTTCTGCAATCACTGCAGATCATCCCATAGAAGCACTGCCTGTTGGACCCCACTCCATTCATCAGTCTCCTCTGGTCAGAAAAAAATTTCATCAGCAAAAAAATAACAGTTTCTCCCCTCTGCTCCGTAACAGCAACTCAACAAAATTTTTTCAAGACCTCCCAGAAGTATCCTTATGCCAGCAAAAGATGCAGTGTCACACTACAGATGTCCTGCTGGCAAAAGGGAAATAGGCATTACCTGACTGCTTCCCTACAGCCTCAAAAGCTCTGCATGTCTGTGTTTCTAAATGTAAGGCACCAGATAAGTGACAGACAGTTTACCTGAGCAGATCTGGGCAGTTATAAATAGTCATTTAATTTGTGATTGCCTCTGCACACTGCTACCAGACACGTTCTGAGTCCTGGTGAGTCTTCCTGCCTCTCTGCAGCCAGATTTTGAGAAGTGCTGAGTTTTCCCACCAAAGATAGAAACAAATTAAATTTGAAGTCAAAAGGTGTCAAATGCACAATGCTCACATCTCAATGCAGCTCAGGATGAACCAGACCTAACAAGCTCTGCTGAGACATACCCTGTGCTAGGGTAGTCAGACAGCTTCTAGCAAGTGCCAAAAGCAGGCATAGCAGCTCACATCTGGCTGCAAATTATATGTCAACTGCTCTACAAATGCTCAGTCCACAGTTGATAAAACCTCTTTGGAACACATTTGGCTTTCAAAGCCTGGTGCACATCTCTAGCTTTCTGGAGACAGGAAAAGCTCACATATTCTTCCTGACTCTTGAGAACGTGAGCTGCTAAAAGGGCTCAAATCCACTAACTAACAACAAAAAAAATCACACTACTTATATGTCATTCTCAATTTGGCTCACTGGATAATTTGGGACCAAATTTATTTTTTAACTTTTTTATGTAGCCTTTCCCTGTCCATCGTAAGAAGTTTAATTATACCATCTCTAAGGCATAATGAACAGCTCAGTAACCAGCTCTGAACATCTTCAAGGACTGTGGTTTCACAGTTTCCCTCTGACAAGTCTTCCACCACACATTTCTGTAGCTTCTGAAGCATTCTGCTGAATATGAAAGCTAATCTACTCCTAGTGCAGTTTCAGACTGTTACCCCTTCTGCCTAAGATGAGAGCGTGCCAGTGTCAATAAGTGATAAATGGAAATACCTCACACTTTCACACAGGGAAATAAGAAAGATTTTTTTCTTTGAAACAAATTACTTCATACTTCCCTTTAAAGTGATTCATGTGAGTACGTAATGATAATGACTTACCGTCTGTACACCCATCCATCCAGATTGAGACCAAAACCCATAAGCAGTAGAGACAATTGTCTATGTTCATTCAAATACATTCATTCCTTTGTCCTACGCTGGGACTGATCTTAAAATAAAGCACTTCCCAGAATGAGCAATGACATGAAATTCTGGTCCATATGACAAATCACTCCATGCCATATTGCGAGGGCTTTAATAGCACTGAATTGTTGCAGGTAGCTCGCGGATGCCCCTTCTACATCAGTGAACCCAGCGTGACTAAGCGTGGCAGAGTCAGTCTTTCTTATATTTAACATGCATGCAGGGCTAATTTCACTTACTTACACTTAAATGCAACTCACTCTGCAGTGGTGAGTCACCAGCAGAGTACTAACAAAGCATATGTACGGCTGAAACTGAGAGAATTGGGGCTCTTTTATTATGAGCAATACCACTGTCTGTGTCAGAAGTGCTACAGGTCTCTTATACGGATAAAAACTGTGCTACGGCTAATGAGTTCCTGCAAAATGTAACAGAGGAAAATCTATTATTAATGTTTTTTTTTCTACTTTTTGCCTTCAGGTGCAAGTCCAAGGAATGACAGGGAATATCCAGTTTGATACTTACGGGCGGAGAACAAATTACACAATTGATGTGTATGAAATGAAAGCTTCTGGATCAAGAAAGGTCAGTTTCATGATATACATTCAGATTTCATATCTTCAGAAATAATATTTCTGATAATACTATTCCAGCAGACTAGTGGAACTCAGTAATGCTGCACAGACACTGCAAAAACAAGACCCAGAGGAATCCCTGCCTTCTTGCCGTCTTCCTATCCCAGGAACCTTGTTCTATTCTGTTTCTGAAACATATCACTCATCCTATTTAATATCTTCATTGGTTTCCATTTGAAGTTAACCCCACTTCATCTGTTAGAAGACACCTTGAGCTTTTATGCTGAGCATGATGTCTGCTGTCATGTCCCTGTGTTCAGCCCAATCTCCATCTTTCCCTTCCCCATAAGAGGCCTCAGAGCAATAGTGAAACTGGAATGAGTGCATTTTAGAAACCTTCTGAAATTATCAGAAAATAATTTGGGTTTTAATTAGGATTTTCACTGCTTGTTCTCTTATCTCCTAAATAAAGTATAGATGCTAAGTGGCGTGACTGCCTTTTATAAAAGCAATTTAGGGCAAATTTTCAAAAATAATTAGGTAGGCAGGTTCTCAGGGGTGTTGAGTGATGAGGCTGAGTAGATAAGATCATCATCCCCCTGATTTCAGAGACAGCAGGTACCTAACGTGTTTAGTCAACAGTGCCACTCTGTAAGTTCTTCTGCACTTATTTGATAACAAAATACCTCTGGACACGACCCAGCCACTCAGCTAGGTTTTACAGCAAGTCTGTGCAGAAATACAAACACTAGTGTAGTAATAGCATAGCAACACAGCCACGGCACCATGAAGGTCAGCACAAGCCAGCTGACAAACAGTCACCTCAGACTCAGAGGGGTTTGTAATCCGCATTGAGGATTATGCTGTTGTGCCTGCATTGCTAACAGACTCTGTGCATCTGCTCTGAAGCTGCAGGTGCTGTCCTCACTGCCTGAACTGCAGCAGAATACTGATAAAAAATTCAAACCTGGATAATTTGACTCAAAGTGCTTTGCAGTGTTTTCTTGTCTTTTGTGCTGTGGATACAGAGAATTTTATTCCACAGGTGAATACAGTGTGCGATTAACAATGTGAATTTAGACACTGAGAATTTAGTATGTATTTTCACTTTGATTTGCCTTGTATCTATTAAAGCTAATGCAACCCTGACTAAATGTTACCAAACCATATGTTTTGACAGTTCTTGTTACAAGTTCACGCACCAAAGTCCTTGTAAATCTATGTAGTAAGGTTAACAATATCCCTTTTTATAGGCTGGTTATTGGAATGAATATGAAAGATTTGTGCCAACATTAGATCAGCTGCCCTCTAATGACACTTCATCTGTGGAGAACAGAACCATAGTAGTCACTACCATCCTGGTAAGTTTAATGTTCTTAGCGTGTTTGTGTTTAGGAAATAAGATGCACAGCTCCTAAGATGTGTTGAACACCTTGTCAGGAGTCTGGTGTTGAATACTGTGTTACTTCAAGTGACTGAAAAGTTCAGTATCTGCCAGAGATTTGCTGAGGGCTTGACATTGCAAGCTTCTATGCATTTCCTTGAGTTTACTCACAGGAATCCCACTGAGCTCAAAATTGTGCTTTCCTGCTTCTCAGACACTTGAATGCCATCAAATGCCTCATATAAGTGAAGTTATGCATGTATATGACTGCTGGCAGGATCTGGCCTTCCTGCTGTAGGGTCCAATCTTGCACCCCTCACTCAGGTACGGCTTCTGTAAACTCAACCCCTGTGGACTGAGGAAGGGTGGTGCAGTGAAGCCTGTAGAGAACTGGAAATGCTCTAGCACTGGGATTAAAGCTATGTATACGCATGAAATTCCAAAGGAGTAAAGCTCTTCATGTGTTTCATAAACAGCAATACCTGTGTTAGCCCCATTGCTTCTAGCAAATGTGCTCTGTGTAGCATTGTTTGTAACTTTTATGTCTGTTACAATTCTACAAAGCATGATCCGATTTTATGCTCTTTCCTGAAGCATTGTGTTTTATACTCCTATGAAGTTAGCAAGATACAATCAGCATTTCGGCCAGAATTTTCCAAGTTGGCTAAGGGAATTGAGTGGGGAAAAAAAAAATGCTGCTGAGGATTTTAGCCTAGCTTCCTTTAGGCTGCTTTGAAAATATCCCCATCAGAGCCCCATCCTAGGCCAAGGGGGACTTAGCAAATAATTTTGCTGCTACAAGTGTTGGGTATGTTCTAAAAACACTAAAAACTGAATTATTACTGCAGTGATGCTATTTGGCTGTCTAATAACCTAAAAAATGAGGGCTAATCGTGCGGACAATAGTGCAACTTTGTTAAAGTGGAATAGTCCTGTTGTCTTCAATGGGTCTGTACTAGGAGTAAAATCTACAGTATGTTTGACTGTAGGATCATGCCAAGGATTTTTAAAGTGTGAAAGTCTGTCTGCCTGATTTCTGTACCATAGTAGGAAATACTGTAAATACTTGCCATTAATATAAAGTAAGGATCGTAACGTCTCTCATTTTGTATGTTTTAAAGCTGTGTTTTACATTCATAGACTTTTGATCTTTACTTTTGTTTCAAAGGAATCACCATATGTAATGTATAAGAAAAACCATGAACAACTAGAAGGGAATGAGAGATATGAAGGATATTGTGTAGACTTAGCTTCTGAAATAGCAAAACATGTTGGAATAAAATACAAACTGTCAATTGTTGGAGATGGGAAATATGGAGCTAGGGACCCTGAGACTAAGATATGGAATGGCATGGTGGGTGAACTGGTCTATGGGGTAAGTTTCTCTTAACCTTCATTTTCATGTTCTTTATTATGAAAAGTTATGCTCGAAGTTAATAAACTGCAAAATAAAGATAATCTGTTTGAATACCACTTTTAAAATTCTAGATATTTCTTTGTAATGCCATTTTTGTAGCTTAGCTTTCTAATCATGTCATTAAAAACAAGTGTCACTTTTTTATCACTGTTCTCCAAATCAGATTCCACAAAACATTGAAATTTGCATTGGGAAAATTTCAAATTCCTGATCTACAGCAGACTTTCTAGTTTACCCTTCATGTATGCTCTTGTTCTTGCCACATCTTCTTTTTCTCCATCAGTCCTGTGAGTGATGGGGGCTGCCCCCAACATTAAAGGTGTGATCTTACAATGCTGAGCCTTGTTAGATCACTGAGGTCAGTTTTTGTTTGATCAGAGACCAGAGACTCAGCACCACGCTTGTTTTTTAGCATAAGAGGCAATACAGGCCTGAAACCACCCACAGTTTTTTCTCTTTAAAAATCAACTGTCAGACACACACAAAAAATCTAATTCATTATATTCCTCATTATATTTCTATATTGGGTGCATATTGCTTTCTTTAGTAAGAAGAAAAACAGTCTGGAATTGCCATTTTAGAAACTTCTTTGAAAATGCGAATTTTGGAATGCTGATACAATAAGCCAGATGGAAGGGGGAGAAAGTTGGCTTTGCAGAAAAGTCTTTACAAGCTGATATTTCATCTTTGCTTTTTTCCCCCCAAATGCTAATGAGATGATTTGTGATTCCACCCAAATCCTTTTTACAGTTTATTTTTAACAAGCTTTCCTTTATTAAAAATATCTTTATAGAAGTGAATGTTTCCATTACATCCTTTTGTTCCTTTGATAAGTGCAGTTTCTAAAAGTATCCTCAAAATTTCCCTATGATAACATCATATCATCATCACTTGCAAAATGTGTGGTGAGATAACTCTTTTCCAATGAATTGGTCTTTTTTAAATGTAGTTGCTAGGTTTCCAAATTTTTTTTTGCCTCTGGAATCCTAATCCTTCATTACATACTTTCTAGCCTATTTGAGTTCAAATATTTTATGTGATTGAAAATTATTTTCTGGTGTTGTATTAATGGGATGGAGGGAAATCTTTTGTTGAATGTAAACAGGGCTCTGGATCCTGGGGTTGTATCTTTGTTTTCCTGTTGCGTTGAAGTTTGACATTATCCAAATCTTTGAACATCCAGTGCCTCAGCTCTGTGACTTGGGAAAACAATATTTCCTTTCTTGAAGAATACAAGTACATTAAGAACATCTGAAGGAAAGATTAGTTTAGTTTCAGGCATAATTGCATTGCAGTGAAAACCTAAACCCTTGGTTTCCCAGTGTGCGGTTCAAGAAATATCAAGAGTATTAGCCGTAATTGGGTCCTTTTGATACATTTGCAAGTGACAAGCAATGAAACAGTTTATTCACTTAAAAGAAAAATCATATCATACACTAAAGACATGACAAAGAGAATCTAAAATTACTTCTAACAGCCAGGGCAAAAGGACCAGAGGAAGAAAGGTGCAATACGGGCCACTGCTTCTGGGATGGGAGCCAAGTAGGATTAGCCCGAGCAGCTGCTGAGCAGTGCAAGATCCATCTGTATGAAGGGCCACCTGAACCCAGCCTTTGCTTGGATAAGCAGGCTCCCTATTGCAGCCTCTTCCCTAGCTCCCTGGGATGAACCTCACTCAGAGCTTGCCTCCTGAGCATCAGACCGAGCCCTCTGGCCCAACCGTGCCTGTCACCTGCCCAAACCTGTGAAGTACAGCCTCATGGGCACCTTTGACCATATTTTAAAACAACCCCAAATCTGCCCGTGGTGGTCATTTTCCCTACAAAAAAGATCTGTTCCATTCAATTCTGACACAGTTTTCACCCATGCTTTCTCATTAATGAAAATTTGAGGATTGTTTCCCTCCCTGGCCCCCAACAGCTCCTCCTTGCACACTGAGGGCTCAGTTACTGAAGCCTCTTAACCACAATACTCAATTATTCAAAGGTCAGATGCACCCCTTGAGGTTTGACTGCAGACCTGGGTTAATGCTGATGGCTCCACACTGCTGAGCAAGCTCCCATCCTGCTGAGCTGAGCAGCGAAGCTGGAGAGCTGTGTGCAGAAATCCACCTGGCTTTCTGCTAGCAGGGGAGCAGCTCCTGACCTCTGAGCACAGACCTCAGGAGCCCCTCAGGCACTTTCCCAGTCCTGTTTGCTGAGATCATGAGATGCCCTTGGCCCTTTCCTCCAGTTGTTGAGAGAGGGCTGTGTACAAAACTCACAAGGATGTGCGAAAAGCCCTTTAAGAGGGAACAGTACTCTAGATGTGCTAATTATTAGGAGCAACTGTCTCATTTTTGTGCTGACTTCCCTTTATCTCTCCAGGGCTTAAAACTCTATTAGGGATCTAAAACTGTACATTTCCCCTAATGCCCTTGTGAGCCCTGTCTGCAAAATGACTGTCATATTTGGCTCTTCCAGATTCCATTTTGGGAAGACAAGAGGGAGATTAGATTTTAAATGCGTTTATTAGCACGCATAGAAGATAGACATGGGGGAATCAAAGGGGCCTGATTGGTTTTGGTACCAGTTACCCAGCAGCTGAACTGAGCTGTGGCAGAAAACAATCTTTTAGATTGCATTTGTCTCAAGTGTTTCATCTGTCAAACGCAGAACATTCCTGGCCCGACAAGCATGCCACTGCCACCCACACTGCTGGGAAGTCTTACCAAGTATTTTTTAAACTGCACTCTGTCTTTGCATAGACTCATGCGTGCAACCTTTTTCTAAAAGTGCCCTTAGCACAGCCATAGGAAGTGAATGGCTTGAAGCTTTAATGCCAAAACCCTAATTAACTGTAATTAATGTTTAGCTTGTGCCAGTTCTTTATTGCCATTACTCCTGCTTCCTGTGGGATGCAGCGTGCAGCCAGGAAGGTGCAGCCAGGTCCTCACAGCCTCTAGAGCCTATACAGGAGGGGTCTGAGTAGGGAGGATGTGGGGAAGGAGAGGATGAATGGGGTGGTCCAGCGCTTCAGGCCCAGGTGACCAGCACAGCCCTGACCAGAGTGCAGGGCCTGCCTCAGCTCAGCACCACTGGGGCTAACTAGGGCAGTCCCAGGAGCCACACATCATCTGGAACAAGCACACTAAAACACTTTCCACTAGAGACTTTCTCCCTCTCCTGTCCCCTATAGTACTTCAGGGCTGGCTGGAGGGCACAAAGGCCTCCTGTGCTGTCAGCCAGGTCGACCTCAGCTGGCCCTGCTTGGACCTTTTGGTGTTGCTTTGCACCAGGCTGTGTGATAATCTGGCTGCAGTGCAGACTTGCTCTTGGCAGCATAGAGGTGGCAGCCCCAGATGCAGGGAGTGCTGGCCAAGCAGGTGTCCCCAAATGGCTTTGCTTCCTACCCAGAGCCCAGAAGTCCTGACTCAGTCCTGACTGAGTTAGCTTTTGATTTGTTAGCAATTACTAAAAGTTGATAATAATAATTGTATAAAAATTTGACATCGGGAATGAAAATTGTTTAATTTTTGATAAATCCAAAAATGTCATTTTAGGTGGAACAAAACCTTAATTTTGATCTTTCACTCTACTGGTATCAAAATAAGACTTTACCTTCTACCATAAAAATGCTAATGTAATGCACTACTGTTTTTTAAACTAAGGGAAACTTCTAAAACATAATGGAAATATTTGACAGTAGCAAAGTAAGTAGTGAAAGCTGTTTTCCTGGGCATTTTAGAAGAGTACTTTGCATTCCTAACTGAGACTTGAAAAACTGTAGAAAAGTATTTTTAACTCTTAACTGAAATTTGAAATATATCAAGTTAAGTTTACCTAACACTTAAGTGTTCCCAGATGTATAAGTTTGTTTCATTTTAGTTGTTCCTGGTGGAGAATGGTTTCTAGTTCAGCCAGCAGTGAGCTCTAGGTTCTGGACACCGGGGAGCACCGGGACCGCTTTATCCCACTCCTGTGCAAACCTAAAACTTGCCGTACACATGAGCTGCATTCCCCACTAAGATCAATGGTGCGTGCTTATTAAGGAAGCTAAATAGCGTGTTGTTAAGACAAGAATTATTCTCATCTCTCTACACAAACCACCACCCCATCCTAGTGCATCCCGGGGCAGCTCATCCAGGTCCAGGGCCTGATCAGACAGACCCTGCCTTCTACACCGTTACAGCAGCTGAAGCTTTCTCAGTCTGTGAGTGAGCTGTTTAAATCCAACCAACACGGCAGGTGTTGCCCTCCCCAGTCGGCACTAAGGAGCTGCCCTCTGCCAGCACCACTGCAGCCGCCCCTCCTGGAGCAGGGCTTTGTGCGCAGGGCTCTGTGCCCGCCTGCCATCAGCCCTTGGCACTGCTCTCCTCTCCTCTGCAGCCTTTGATTCCTTCCAGTCTCAAAGAACGCCACTGTTCTGCTTTCACCGAGCCGCCAGGGAAAGCTCCCTCCCCGGGCCTGGTGCTTTCAAGTCGCTGAGGCTAATCGAGAGTAGGCTGAACACGTCTCTTAATTGTAGCTACAAATGCACTGGGAGTGGAAAGAGCAGACAGACCTTACAGCCCTTAAAACTCCCCTCAGGTGACAGAAGGTCTTTGTAAGAACCTTTCAATATGTAAAACAGCACCAAAGAATGAAGCTGGGATGTAAAGCTGAGGCGTTCCCCAGCCACAAGGCCTCTGGAGCCGCTTGTAGCGAGGCTGCCCACTCCTGTCCCTGCCCAGCTGGGCCCGCAGCACAAGTGCTCTGCTTCTCACAGCAGCAGCGAGACCGTGACTGCCATGGGAAGCCCTGGGGTTGCAGCAGCTGGTGGAAGGCTGCTCCCCCTCCTCAGTGTCCCTGCTGGTTTCACCAGGGCGAGGTCCGTGCAACATGGCTCCCAGCTCCAGCTGCACCACACCAGCCGGGAGGCCGAAAGCAGACCTGCCTCCACTTCTCCTTTTGCAATGATACCTCAGGAGGAACAGTGTGCATCCAAATTAGGCCTGTTTTGGACAAGGAATTCAATTAATGTCGACAAACTACAGCAGCCAAGGCCAACTGCAGTTTCAACCACCGTAAAATGAGTTTTTTTCATGGCTGGGCTAATACGCAATGCAACTTCAGTGCAGTTTGTTGCTGCACTGATCTCAGCTGTTGTTTCTAAACAAGTGTGAGTAAGTGTGTTAGAAGCACAGTGCACTCCTGGCCTGGCCTTCCAGCACAGCCTGATATCTGGAGAGATAGCACGTTCCACTGACAAGGCAGCTGTCAGGCACCGCAGGTGAGGTGTTGCTCTGTCCGACATCCTGCACGGATGGTCTTACGCTGCACAGTCAGCCATCTTCCCAGCACAGTCTCATCTCAGAAGCATTCGGCACCTCTGGAGTGCCTGGGGATTGGGCTCCCAAAGGAAGCTGGGCAGTGAGCACCAGCCACAGTGTTCCACTGTTTTGGTGTGAGCACAGGCTGCACAGTGAGTGCAGCCAGCGCCAAGTTTCTTGGAAAGCCATGCAGTAGTGAAGGAATTCTTCAGTTCTACAGGCATGAGCAACCAGAAACATGTACCAGCAGAAGCCTGCCCAGTGTCTCTTCCTACCTCTAGTGCGCGTCTTTGAAGATAGTGAAACTCATCTTCAGGCCTGTAAGCAGATTTCCACCCCACCTTTCAGATTACAGAGGTGGAACATCTTATCACTTCTTTCTCTGCACGGAGGGATATTTCCATTTAGTATTTTTCTCCCTCCCCTTAAGAGTTTTGAGATATGCAGCCCCTTGGGGTTGGCTTTGAGCAGAGTGGGCAGCGCTCTGTGCTGCATGTCCTCCCTAAATCCATCCTCCCACACTGGTAGGCAGAGACAGAACAAGCCTCAGAGGAATCCATGACATTTTCTCCCAGCTTAAATGCAGTGAGGATGATGTTTGAAACGCCATTAGTCATGAGTGATTAGCAAAGCTCGGTTGTTGAGGTTCTTAACTTCTCCCCCTCCAACTGCACAGGGTAAGGCATGTTTGCGGTTCTGTTGTGTTATTTTTAATCTAGTTCAATTTTTATGGGTTCTGCTTATCTGCAGCCATAATAAGAAGAGAGATTCACAACCATATTGCAGTTATTAATGATCTGTGGGGGCGCTTAGAGCTTTTCATAGGCTCTCCGTTTCATATATTATATATCTAGATAAATAGGCAGCAAGTGCTCTTGTTTTAACTTCTCTGGTGTAACTAATAGTTGGGAACCAGGCTCAGGTGCTGCACTGTTGCTGGGCTGCTTTCAGTGCCAGAGTTGTGGATGGTTTCCGAGATCCTATGGATACCTGGTTTCCTTTGATGAAAATAACTGCTGTTGTATTCATTGAAGGCCAGAGGATGTTTATTTATTGGTGTTCCCAATATGCTGAAGGCCTATCAAAAACAGTGGGAAAGCGGGAAGGCTAAAGTGTATTAGAAAAATTGGCATTTATTGTTCTGCTAATATTAATGTAGTTTAAAATCATTTACAAAGAAATTCATGCTTTGTGATACGAATGAGGACATGGTAGCAATCAGGCGTTTAAAAACTGATTTGTCAGTGCTAAACAGAGCATCAGCTCCATAATCCCAAATACCCCACAGGAGCATCCTGCATGAACCCAGATGTTCGTGAAGGAGATGCAGACTTTATTGCACGCTGCATCAGCGCTTAGGAAGAACTCCACTGTGTCTCCTTCAGCAATTAATATATTACTTTGGGAGAATTCAATTTCTTTGAGTTCAGGAAAATGCTACAGCAAATAATGGCACCTATGGCTGATCCAGCCCCTGACGAGCTGTCCCACAGCTGATGGCCCTGCACAGGCTGCAGGGCTGCTTTCTCCCTTGTATGGGAGCAATTCTTGAGCAGTCATTGCTAGGTGCTCTGCAGAGGTCCTCATCCACTCAGCTCACTCTAATAATGATTAATTTGTAATTACTTCATTAGTTCAATTCGAAATACAGTAGCCGTGGTCAAAGTGCTTACTCTTCCAGCCAGCAGTGGACAGTGACTGCATTTAAAATGGATGTCCTGTGCGTATCTAATACTGACTGCAGACGCTTAATGTTGAACAGAGGTTCAGTAAGCAGTAGCTAAAAGACAAATATGTGTTTGGGGAGAATTCATCAGCGAGCAAGCTGCAGAATCATCGAGTCCCTTCCCTACACTCTACCCATGTTCCCTCAGGTCTCCATTACTTCGGTTATTAACTCATTCATCTGCAAAGCCAGTAAACACCCAGCATCCAAAAGCAACTGGCACTTCTAGTTTCTAGATGCATGCCACGATAACATAGATTCTTGCAGCAAGCAACCACAGATTGGGTGAGGGTTTTCTCCTGAAGGAAAGCAGTCACTCAAGGGGAAGGGCAATGTCTTGGTACGCATGAATGTCTAAAGGAGCTGAGGAGGGCTATAGCAAAGTACGCTGTGGGCCATGGTTTCCAAATGGCTTCCTTATATGTGTGGATGTGACTTATTTGATTATTCCAAGCCATGAGTTTGTACACATCCCTCATAGCTGCACATGCAGGTGCAGACGGTTAGGAAGCCTTCCTGAGGGACTGGAGGAAGCCTGGAGGTTGTGTGTGTGCTCATGGGGAATGGAGGCAGGCCCAGCAGGGCTGCCATTGGCCTCAGCTGTGCAGCACCCAGGGGTGCCTTGGGAACCAGGGTTGAGGCACCCGCTGGTATGGGGCAGAGAGGCAGAGATTGCCTTTACAAAAGGCTTCGCCATTTCTGCTTATTAAACCTCAAATTAAATTAAATTAGACTAAAACCCACCACCACAAAGAAAATTAAACAAAACAATGAAACTGAACTTAGTAGATCGGGAAATCAGATCTTGGTGAAAGTCGAGTATATCAACATCAGATTTACATAAAGCTATTTTAAATTATTTTATGGCACAGATTTTAATCACTTCTTATCAACATTTGCAATTAATTTGTATTCAAACTTCTAATAAATCAGGATTTATTTTTCGGTCAGAAAGACACACACACTCACTAGTTGGAAACAAAAGTCTGATTTAAAAAGGTGCACAGTGATTTAGCTACTGGTAAGTTAAGCTTTCCCTAAGAATCATTTTTCCTTCTGAAATTCTTAATTATCAACAAGAGGCCATCTTTAAGAGAATCAACATCATGAATAGTTACAGAATTGTTAAAAGTAGGCAGAAGGTTACGAATAATGTATGTGGACTCTTGCAGTAAAGCTTCTTCTTAAAATGCAGAAGAACTTTTTTTTTTTTTTAGACGTTCTAGACTCCTCAGATACAATTTCTGACACCTGCTTGAGTACTTTGCCAAATCAAGGCTAGGTTGTCTAAACAGCGTGACTTGAACCTGGTATAAAAATATAGACACAATTATATATATATTGAAATTCCATTATGGAATACAAATTTCAATCAAGTAACCAAGTAATTTTTATTAATTGACTGATTGATTTTCACTTCACATTCTTACCTTCCCTATGGAATTCAGGAAAAACATAAGGACTGAAATGAAAGGGTGTTGGTTCCAGCCAGACATTATCTCATTGCAAATTGCCCTGGTGAATGACAATGCAATGAGACGAGATTGTGCTTCTGTATGATGCATCCTTAGAACAGTGTCTGTATTGCAGATCTGTAGAGTTGAGATTCTGTGTAACAGAATGACGTTACACTTTTGCCTTTTCCCCACATGATCTAAGCTATTTACTGCTCAGAGATTCACGGATCTGTATTACTGTTCTCAGTGACCACGGAAGGCTGCCTGGTTCCTATCACCCCACTATCCTTCCATCATCTTTCCTTTATTGTAATGGAGTTTCAGAGGAATATATAAATTACAGTGCCCAAATCCAGCTGAAATTCCGTGACTAATTACTTATCTTAGGTTTATCTGGAATAATCAATAAGGCAACAGAACCTGCTGGTAGAATGAAAAAGAAAGCATCCAAATATAACAAATACATAATTTGTCCAGAGTCCTGAGGACAGATGGACAGATACAGGCTGTTACTAGAAAATAACATAGAAGTCAAAAGGCAAGTGCTTGCGATGTCGCCATGTCTACCAGATAAACAGGGACACACTTGTGCAAGAAGGAAAGCACATGCTCTCACGCTTACCCAAGAACTACTTTTAACTCCTGGAATTAAAAATTTATTAATGTCAAAGAACTTTTCCTAAATAAAAAGATTAAAAAGCCATCAAACAATCCACATACCTTTGAAATCCTTAATGCAATAGTTTCTTTTTTGCTTTTTGGTTTTTTGTTGGTTGTTTTTTTCTGCCTATGATTTAAATATGTTTTTATGTGTTAAATACTGTTCATGACTGAACTGGACTAGAAATCACATTTCATATGCAAAATATAGACCCTTTACATTACCCTAAAAAGTACAACTTTAATTGCAGTTTCGTTGTCCAGTCGAAATAGAGTTTATTCATCCATTTTAAATGAACAGAAACATAAATACACATTGGTACTGATCTCTTTCTCTCTTGAGGCCCTTGCACAGATTGGGTTGTAATTTTTCTTGTTAATAATTTTCTGTCGATATCACATATTTCTTAATCAAATTCAGTGATTGCCAAATAGGTTGAAAAGAAAATGCTTCCTACTCGGTTTTGTAATTCATCATCTCATTCATTAACCTGAGATTCTAGATTGTGATTATGTTGCAACTGTTTTGTCGCTAACTTGGCCATGTTTTCCCTTTCCAGAGAGCAGATATAGCTGTTGCTCCCCTCACCATAACGTTGGTGCGAGAAGAGGTCATAGACTTTTCCAAGCCTTTTATGAGCCTGGGGATCTCCATCATGATCAAGAAGCCTCAGAAATCTAAACCGGGCGTATTCTCTTTCCTGGATCCTTTGGCTTATGAAATTTGGATGTGTATAGTCTTTGCTTACATTGGCGTCAGCGTAGTTCTTTTCCTAGTCAGCAGATTCAGCCCTTATGAATGGCACTTGGAAGACGGCAGTGAAGAACCACGTGACCCTCAGAATCCTCCTGATCCTCCCAATGAGTTTGGAATATTTAACAGCCTTTGGTTTTCCCTGGGTGCCTTTATGCAGCAAGGATGCGATATTTCTCCAAGGTTTGTTTCATATCACTCCATCACCTTTTTGCATTTTATGGTCATTTTCTGATGCCATGGTGCATATATGTTCCATTTTCAAATTTATTTTTAATTCTAATTCTTTTGTTTTGACATTTCATTTAATGCTGAGCATCATCATCAAGCCACTGTGTTTGCTAACAGTCACCTCCAGAGTGAGTGGCATTGCTTTATAATGCTGTTTATGCATTTCTGCCAAACTTATATACACCATGTTAAGGCTGTAAAATGCATAGGGTTTTCTGTTTTCAGCAATGCTTGGAGGGCTACCGTGTTTTTGCTGCATATCTCATTTTACGGTCATCTCCTTGATGCATAAAACACATTATGCTTTGCAAAATAAGAATTATTTATTTTTGGAAAACTCACATGCAACAGCACTTTAAAACACCTCCACTGTCACAGCTTCTGCTAGATTTTTTTTTTTTTTTGCTTTCTTTTTTACCTAATTTCTCTAATTTTGTTCTTCTTGACCCATCCTTTCATTTACTACTCATTTGCTTACAGCCACGTTTCATACATTCAGATCTGTATGTGCACCTGTCTGTCAGCTATTACATGCTGCCCTGTATGGGTCGTCGTTTAAATCTAATCCATCATCCATCATCCCTATGCTCATAGTCAGTATGGTCCAATAAGCATTGCCAGTTTCCATCCCTTCTTTTTTATTCATGAAGACAGTCTTTCTGAGTAAGGCTTTGGTAAAGTATGTTTGATATTAGCTCCAGTTTAACAGAGAGTGCTGCTAACTACTGTGGAATTGTATTTCTTGTTCAAAAAAGCACTTTGAAAACCACCAGAGAATAGTGAAGTTCTTTGTAATTGAACAATGCAAACCTCAAATGTATTTTGAGTAGTTTATATGCAACACTTCTACACGCACACTGCTAAAATACTTTGGTGACATGCCTTTGATAAGCAGTCGAATTACCTACATGTAGTTTCTTAGTGATGGAACAGTAATTCTGTTTTATATGAAAATAATTTTAAATCCAGTTTACAGTTATTTTAATTATTAAAATGCCTCCATAGTACAAACAGGATGCAGGATAACAGTATGAACAGGATAAAAAGTTGCTAGTCAAATCAAGAGAGAGAGGTATTCTGACTGAATGCTTGTCCTCAGAATGCACACTGGTAATTTCCACATTTGTGCTCAAAAGTTACCAGGCTTTCCTAAGCTAATTAGTGGAAGACCTGCTGAATGGTCTCACTGCAGCAAGTAACAAAATCTCATGGAAGGAAGTTTCACGGAGAGTACCAAGATTTTCAGTTGGAATGTAAAAATGATTCTTTAAGGTCACAGTTATTGCACATTTAGATCTCCTAATTGCAGCCGAATCCAGGATTTGCAGATAATGGCATGTGCCTGTCAGTATTTGATGCAAGTCATTCCTGTGTTTTAAAAGCTTTGATAGCAGCAGTTAGATTCCACAAGCAGTTGACAGGTGCATATGTATCCTATATAAGGCACGCACGTGGCTTTTTTGCCTGGACAGAACCCTGCACTATTGTTCACAGCTCCCAGTGTTCCAGTGTGCTGCCTTGCTGTAGCTGCCAGCCTTCTCCTTGTGTTTATACACTGTGTTTCTGCTTTATTCCCAAATTCTGTAATGACACGTTACCTTTCTTTCCGCAGCTAAATGTGATGAGTAGTGCTAGCATTTAAATTGCTGTTGACCATGTGTGTGCCCAATATGAAAGACCGGGAAATAAGCACTGGGACATCACATGGAAAGCTGCAGGCATTGCACTGTTTCCACTAGGTCTGTTTATTGACAGCAAATTGAAGTCCATAGGATTTTTGTTAAGCTCTCATGTGATCTTTGACATGTTCAGCCATTTACTTTATATAACAAGTGGAACATACTCTATTTTTTTCAATACTAACACGATAAGTGCCTTGGAAATACGAGAAAAAGAGTTAGCAGTAAACCTGTTTATTTTATCTGTCCATCAGAAGCTCTTAACTCAGTAACAGTATGTGGTCCTCATTAGAAGACGTCTGGCTATTTTGTTATCTTCCATGATAACGAGTTCAGGCAATTATGTGCACTGTTACTGAAAAAAAAAAAAAAAAAAAAAAAAGGAGATTGAATACCTTGGTTTCCATTCCAGAAACACCACTCCTTTGACTGATAGGTTGATTTAGGTTTATTTAATGTCAGATTTCTTCTCCGTCTAAGAAACTATTCCCAAGGGTTCCATTCCGAATCCAGATCTTTGTGAGGTTATGCCATTCACAGTACACTGATTATATGAATGTTTCATACTACTTTATTGCCATTAAAAGGGGCTTCATTCTTCCATTGTGAGTTTTGTCTGAATAAATTTCTTATTCGAGAGCATACAGCACTTGTAGAGAGATGCCGACAAGCAGTCTGGAGAGATCACTTTTGTACTTGCTGATAAAGGCTCTTTCAGCTGCCTTTGTGCGGAACAGCTGTGACATCTAATGACTAGTTAGATCTGTCCTCGGTGAGTATGCTGTGCGGATATTCCAGAGGATATATCCCTGTACTCTCCTCTCTGTATTTAATAGGAGTCATCTCAGCTGAGTCAGAAGGCAGCCAAAGGATGGTAGTTAGCTCATCCCACGATGGAACCAGCATTTGTTCCAGAGCTTTTGTTCTGCTATCAAAGGCTGCTGTGTTTTCTGCTTAGTGAGCTAAAGTATTGAAAATTCACTTTTGATGGCTCAGAAGCAGATTATTAAATTTGCTTTAATGTAAAATGTATACAGCAAATGGAATCAAGAGAAAGCAGTAGAATTTGTAACACTGTTCGGAGCAAAAGTACCTTTGAAATCTGTATGAGACCATATATTTTCATTTTGCTCTTTATTCACTCAGAACAAAGAGGCAAGATTAACTAATTGCTGATAGGAAAAGACGGGGTTTCATTAAAAATTATTGCAAGAAGTTGGTCATTTGAGAGGATATATTTCTAGATCCCTATTTTTGTAGCAGAAGGCTCAAGAGACTCCTATTAAAGACCATGGGAATGACTTAGTGGGAGTTTTGGAACGACAACAAGAGCTGGGTAGCTAGGCGCTTCTGAAACTCCCCCTGCCAGTTCCTATGATGAGAGAATAGAGCATCTCAAGGCAGAGCTTTAGATGCTGGTATTTACTGTGTTCTGTCTCAGGCGGGTGCCTCCTGGCCAAGTGGGGACAACAGGGTAGGCAGAGTGCTTGCTGGGCTGGTGAGCCAAGCACTGAGCTCCTAGCATACAGGGCTGCGTGCTCAGAATGAAAAGGGGGTCTCAGACAGTAGATTTTGCTCTGAGGTTGGTCAGAGCTTTTTGTCAGTATAACACCTATCTTGTATCGATCATAAGAGCCCTATTAAAAATTAAGTAGTGTGAAAAGCTTTTTTCTGTTTGTTATAGGAAATCAAGGATGTTTTCTGGCCATGAATAGAAACAGAATTCAAGCTATATTGATAAATAAATGAGATTCTGTTTGAATGTATTTTTCTCTTGGAAACTGAATGTGAATTTGAATATTTGTTTTCTTTCTTTTCTTGTTACTAATTTGCTCTCATTTGACTCCATGCTTCCTTTTAAATTTCCTCTCAAGGTATGCACTCTTCCTGTTTACTTCCATCTGATCTTGTTTTGGTAATTGTGTCATAATTCTGTTATATCAAGGCTTTCTTACTTCTCTTGTTTGTTAACAGCCTAATTCACTTCAAAATGATGTCGTGCAATGTATTGATTTATTGAAGTAATTTGGAAAATGGCACGTTGGGATAAAACATTAGTTGCTTGTTTTTAAATTACAACATTGCACACTTGGACCAGTATGCCTTCATCACAAAAAGTGGTGCTGGTATTAAAAACTGGGATTGATTTTTCTGTAATTGTTATCTGAGTAACGCAAAAACGTTTCTATGGTTCACAGTACAAAACAAACAAGTATTCTCTTATTGCCAGCCTGGTGGTTATGTACTAACCCTTTTTCTCCCTCATCCCTCCACACCAGCCCCTGCAGTGGGTATAAGGAGTCTTCATATCAGCAGATGGACTGGGGGGAAACAGGGTGCTTTCAGAAAAGGAGGCTGCCAGGCCGTGTTCAACTATGCTCTTGTTCTTTGAGTCTTTGTCTGTCTTTCCAAAGTCAGCTTTGCAGTTTGTTTTGTTTTCCTTTTGCTGCATCCTGTGCTTGACACCAATCACAGCAGTGGTCACCCAAGGTGCTTCTTAGCAGCAACTGTTCTATCTTCTTTTCTGTGCTCATTGGAAACCTGTGGGAGAAGGAGTTCTGCAATGACATCCAGTTTTCTTTCAAGTGAACTCAACTCTTCTGAGAACTGCTCTGGTCCTCATCTAGCAAGACCACTCTCTTGCATGTAGGACCCAGAGGAACTGTCTTCTTCAAGGTACCCAGCCATGCCCTCCTGCCCTGCCTCTCAGTTGTTCTCTGTAGTTTGTCCTGTATCTGTCTGCTTGCTTTATGCAGGTTGCAACATCTTGGGGGCAAGATATTTTTTATCTTCATCTATGTTATAATGCACTGTATGAACATGCAGCTCTACACAGACATTGTGTTGTTACAGGATTGTGGGACTGTGGGTACAGTGGTTTGGAAAATGCTTCCCTTCCTGCACATCTTCACCCCAGCAATCTGTGCTTCAAGCAGAAGGGGCAGTTCCTGATGCAAGTATCACATTTCCTAAGGGAAACCACAGGGAGGATGCATACGTGCCTTTTTTTTTTTTTAACTGATAGTTCCATTAAATTTGTCTAAACATCCTGTCAAGTCTTTTCTTCATCTTCCTCTTTCAAGACCTACTGTAAAGCAAGAGGGCCACAGGAACCTGGATATGCCAGATAAAGCTGGTCTTGCTGTGTGTAAGTGGATGCTTCATCTCCTTAGTCTGGCTCTGAAACTAAACTGCCAATGTGCTGCAAGGAGGAAAAATTCAAGTCTTTTTCACCTTGAAGCTGGAAATTATGTAGTGAAAGAGTGAGCAAAAGAGAAACGAGTTTCACCTGGTAGAGCCACCTGAAAGCAATATACTGTGTTCTAGTTAGGCATCTTAGGCTCTCCATGCTCATGGGAGACAGATGGGCACCTTCAGATCTATCCCACGCTATAGCAAGTGAGATAAATCTCATTCTAAGGGTGTCTGTCTCGTCTTTGTCTTGGCTTCAAAGGAAGCCTTACTCAGTGAGATCAACAGGCACTGCTGTGTGGATGACTCAAATTAAGTTTAGCTTATATGAGAGTTTGGTTTGTTGTGTAGGATATCCAGTTTTATGAAACAGCCAAAGCAAGCCCCTAGCTGGCCAGAAAGGGCCTTTACCATCTCTAAAATCGCAGAAGATCGTTCTCTTGATGCATTCCATGAACGTATAGTGAGATAGAAAGATTTTTTATCTCACTGCGTTATTCTGGATTTGTATTTCTGGAATTTACCTTTGCAATCATTCAGCAGCCTTGTGTTAGTTAGCGGTGCTGCAGCATAGCCCCAGCTTGGAACCTGAAAGCCTTTCATCCTGCCAGGAGCCCTTAGGACGGACCGGGGAGCCTCCTGTGCTTGGCAGAGATCCATCAGGCATGGTCCTGCCCTGAGGAACTGCACGCAGGCTGGAGCAGAAGCCATTTCTCACAGCGTTCTCACCTCGGAAGTCACTGATCCTGATGGACAAAGAGGTGATGCTTCACTCCTTAGGCTTCCTGCAACCTTGTGACCACCTGAACCCTGCGTGCTGGTATGGACCTGCCACGGGCGAGCAAGCAGAGCAGGCTGTAACCCACAGGTCCAGCCCAAACCTGCCCTTCCAGCAGGAACTGCTGTTCAGTTCCTGGGAAGAAGGGAGTGGAGAACTACTTTCTTTTGCCTCGTAGTTTGTTTCTCCCTATTCCTCTAACCTATTCCAGACTGTGCTCTCTGTTTTTATTGTGTTGGAAATATTTTTCTTTGGTGTGTTCTTTTAATGTTGGATGGATTTTTTTTTTTTCCTTTTTTTTTTTTTTTTAATTTCTTATTAATTTAATGGGATTTTTTCATGGTTCAGGCAATGTCAGGCTCTGGCCAAGACTAGGCAGTTTACCAGCTCACCTCCCTCAAGTGGGCAGGGTGGGGGCCCGGCACCAGACTTTTTTCCTGTCTCCATCTGTTGGTAGGACAACTTGTACCCACTGTCTGGGGGTGGCACTGAGGGGCTGGAAACAAACAAACAAACAAACAGGTAAGAGTTTTCTTGTTTTCTATTTCTTCCCTTCGCACTAATTGAGAACTGCAGCACACAGGTTCTGTGGATTTAATATATTTGGGATTGAATCTTCCGTCTTTGATATCAGTAAAGAACAAAGGGGAAACATAAGAAATAGCTTTGTCAGCTCCTGAAACGTTTCCCAGTTAATATGTTGTGTTTGAAGAATGTGCACAGCAGTGAATTCCCAGTGTGTTCTTCAGCCCTACAAAGATCTTTTGAGCTTGGTGTTCAATTGCTTTACACAGTCTAGATCTCCTGAGCAGTACGCATTTTGTAATTGTATATTAATACATATGGATTTTTTTTAAGTCTTCATGTTATTTTTATTTAAAAAAACACACACAAAAGCCCACAAACATTATTTTTCTACTTCCTCCTACATTGCTCTGGTAGCTCTAGAGCTGAAATGTGCTTGTCTTGAAAAAGTGGATTTTAGGCATGCAAATGTTAATTAACATAAAACAAAACAGCTTCTTTCCTCATTTAAATATTTAGATTCAGTCTTTAATTCCTGCTAGGATATAATGAGAAAATGGTACTGGATCACTTGTATTTTATTCGTTTGGATGCTTACTCACGACTTCTTGCAGTTCGTTTTTACATTTTAAGAGTCAGTGCAGTAAAAGGTGTTTTCTTCCTCAAAACGGGTCAGTATCCAAAGAGCCAGCAGTGCTGGTGTGTCACAGCGGGTGAATCCAGACAGAGGGAAAGGCTGGCCTAGCAGAGAAGATGAAAGTCTTCTGGCTGAGGAAGTCAGGGGGGCTTACTCCTCCCCAGCTCTCCAGATGGAGTGGGCTCGGAGGAACCGGTTTCTTTGTCCTTGTTTTCAATAGCAGGATGAGGAGTGTGTAGCTAGGTAAGAGCAGGTACATGCCTATTTGCTCTCCCAAGGAAGGCTTCAGGAGCTAGCTATCTCTTCACAGATGCCTGGAGGATCGGGACAACAGGATTGTGCATGTGAATTTCTGTTCTACACCAAAAACAAATGAATAAATCAAGGGATGTATCTGAGGAAATTTGATGATCTGTGTTTTTCCATAGATCTCTCTCAGGGCGAATTGTTGGAGGAGTCTGGTGGTTCTTCACTCTCATCATTATCTCTTCCTACACTGCTAATCTTGCTGCCTTCCTTACGGTGGAAAGGATGGTGTCTCCCATAGAGAGCGCAGAGGATCTGGCTAAACAAACCGAGATAGCCTATGGCACTTTGGATTCAGGCTCAACCAAAGAATTCTTTAGAGTAAGTTGCATGCTTTAAAGCAGTTCTCTTGTATCTCCATTAAAGATTTTCTAAGCTGTACATGCCCGATACATGGGGGCCCGGTATTCAGTCATTTGTTTCTCCCTGTCTGTAATAGCTGTTCTGATGAAGGCTGCTTTGTGCAATCAGGGTAAGCCTGAGTGCAATATCAAAAGTCATTTTATCAAAAACTGGTAGTTTTGCTCACCTGAAACATCTCAAGATGAAAAACCTGAGCTCTACTTTTGCAGGAAACCAGATTTTAACACCAGTTTCTGAGCCTCAGTGTGATGAGCAATAATGCAGTTGTGCACAATATTTAGCGAACAACTTGGAGAAGTGACTGTCTTGACCTACTTGTTCTGTTTGCCCAGCTGGCAGCCATTAATGGCATCCAGCAGTGGTGTTTACTTGCCAGAATGAGCAGGGGGTGGAAGCTTGTGTTGCCATTTCTGTGTGCACTGATGGCTGCAGTTGCTGTGGCTGCCTCTTCACTGCTCACGTGTGTGACTGGGGCTGCATCAGCCAGGATGGAGGGGAACTTTTGTATCATGAACACAATCATGTGTTCACGTGGTTCAAAGAAATGCTGCATTTGCAGTATTTGGGAAGGGAAGAGGGCAGGGAAAGATATGCAGACTGGAGCACCTCCCCTGTGAGGACAGGCTGAGGGAGCTGGGCTTGTTCAGCCTGGAGAAAAGAAGGCTGCGGGGTGACCTCATGGCAGCCTGCAGTACCTAAGGGGAGCCTACAGAGGGGAGGGGAATCAACTCTTTGAAAGGGTTGATACGTGTAGGATGAGGGGAAATGGTTTTAAGTTGACAGAGGCGAGATTTAGGTTGGGCATCAGGGGGAAATTCTTTACCCAGAGAGTGGTGAGGTGCTGGAGCAGCTGTCCAGAGAGGTTGTGGATGCCCTGTCCTTGGAGGTGTCCAAGGCCAGGTTGGATGGGGCCCTGGGCAGCCTGGTTTAGCATTAAATGTGGACGTTGGTGGCCCTGCCTGTGGCAGGGGGTTGGAGATTCATGATCCTTGAGGTCCCTTCCAACCCTGGCCATTCTGTGATTCTGTGATTTAAGATTATCCTTTATTTTTTCACATGCCAAACCACAAGCTGAACTGCAGAGGGATGTCATTAAAATGTCTAAATATGACTTCAGACTGCTTTTTTTTTTTTTTTTTTTTTTTTTTTTTTTCCTTCCCTGTATCAGAAAATGTTGTGACCTGGAAAGCTCTTTATTTCTGGCCTTTCCAAGGGTGAATGAAATACTCAGCCCTTGCAGGAAGCTCCTGGCTCTCTCTCAGCAGTGCCAATCAAATGCCATTCAGGGCAACAATTCTTCGTATAGAAGAGTGGTCAGTGCTGCAGGATTAATTACTGCCTATCACGCATACTGGTCAGGTGCAAGTGTGAGGGAAAAGGAAGAAATAAAACCTTGCTGCTGTAGAGTAGTTAAATACTGACGGCCCCTTGAATTTACTTAAGATTTTGAATATTTAGTTTTCATGCTCAAATGACAGTAGCAAGTAAAGACTGGAAAAACTGAGACGTTGTAAGATGAATATCTCTGCCATGGATAAAAGACTGCACTCACACATGCACGGGTGTATAAATTTGATACAAAAAGCTAGCAGTGAATACAAAGCTATTTTATGAAGTTTTTGTACTCTGCCTTACTTAGGTGTAATGTCTCTATATAAAGATGAGTACTTGCTAGTTCTTACTTAACAGTGGTGGGGGATGTATTAACAACAGCTTCTCTTTGTATTAAACTCCTACAAGATTAACACTGATCTTCCTAAAGATGAAACCAGTGTGTAAAATTTTGTATTCTGTTTAATTATCAGACTGAGGTGCTATTATCTGTGTGGCAAAAATGAGCTGAGTGGGTCTGTCACAAAAGGTGGCACAACTTGATGGGTAATACTGGTGCCATTCACAGCCACTGTACTGTTCTTAGGGGAAAAAAATCCCTTCCTTTGAATATCTCTTTACTGTTAATTCTAAAAGAGTTATTGTATGGAGGTCTTTCTTCATTTAGGTGTTAGTTTGACGTAGCATGGCAGTCCCTTCTCACTATGTGATCAAAGTAATGAGTGTTTCTTGTGAAAATCTACAAAGTCTAGTGAATGTATGAATGCTTTGTCGTGCTGTTAACAGCCTCAGGATGAGCCATGACTCTCCTGGTGCTTGAAGAAAGCAGGGCTCTGAGGGAGGATAATCTATCAGGAGTCAGTGGCTCCACTGGGCACAGGGGAATGGGATGGGAAGGCAGGGAGGCGATCTGCAGTGCTGATGGAGTGGGATGTGATGCCACTCAGTGGGATCCAGGTGGGCCAGAATGGGCCCTGAGAGGTGCTTGTCTCTTCTTGGCATTCTTGAGGCACGCAACATAATTTTAGCTGAATTATCTTTTTGTAGAGAAATTAATTTGAATAGAGCCGTGCAGCCACAAAACTGTCATAACTAGAGTCTCCTTTAGCTGATGTGAGGACAAAAATTTTGCCTTAAGTGTGTATGTTCACATAAATACTTCACTGTGCAGCCTTTATAGCTACTCAGTAAGGTGGCAATGATAGCTGAAACTTGAAATAGCTCTTAGAGCATGGTGGGTTTCTGAACATCTGCTGCCCAGAGGCTGTCCTTCCCCCAGTAAGCTTTTCTCTCACCACTGCTGGAGCATCAATAGGAGTGATAGTTTGAGCCCCAAAGAGCCATGGGTTCTCCTGGATTTGGTGTAATGCTTCTGAGGTCCTTCTGAGGTGTCCCTAACCATGGTGGGGGTTGGATGATCTTTAAGGTCCCTTTTAACCCAAGCCATTCTGTGAATCTGAGATCCCATAAAGAAGCTTCTATGGCTTTCTCCATAGAGGCATGAAGCTATTTCTCAAAGATACTGATCATATATTGATCTTAATGGCTGCTGCTGGCCAGTGAAAGGTGCCAGACTGGCCACAGCAAGAAAAAATCTGTAGCTTACAGCCAGATACAACATTGCTGTTTCAAGCATGCAGGATGAATGCTGTTGGCGTGACGTTACTCTCTCAGTTAAAACAATCAAGAATATTTTTGGTAACATTTTCACAGCAGTCACTGTTCACTCTCCTCAGTCGTTGGTGATTCTCTGTATCAGGGTATTTGTCCTTGCAGTCCATCTAAGAAGCAAATGAGCCTTCCTGTATTTTTATGGTTGTTTCTTGATTCTGCTCAGAAACATTTTATGTTTTGCACTGATTAGTTTATAAAGGCAGTTAAATGACAATCAATAGATTACATCAATTCCATTTTGGCTTTCAAAGGGCATTCATCCATACTGGAGAGGAGAAAAACCTCTCCTTAAACATTTATTCACATACAGTCTCACATTAAGGGCTCCGAAATGCCTCTTTTTCCTTCCTGAAAACCAGTGAAGGACAAATACTAGAAAGCAGTAACAGGCAGTGACATTGCAACTTCTAAGGGTATATCTGTTAGAATTAACATCTTCTAATATATTCAGTTAAAACTTCAGCATATCTAGGCAGCTCATCCAGTCAGTGTAACATCATTTGATCCAAATACAGCACTCACTATAAGTCTATTGCCACAGTCAAATAGGTTTTGGACCTGCAACGTGCGTACATTCTACAGGTGTGACCTTTACAACCAATTAGTAATTCTTATATAAGCTTGCTGTATTTAAACTACTGAAGAAATGAGTGAACGTGCTTCTAGACATTTGGAAATAGGAACTGATCTTCAATTTATTGTGGTTTCTTCTAATTGATAGCAGATAACTGTATTAAGAGGCTTTTGAGAGACTTCTCCGTGATACATTATAAAGCATGTGCTTGATCATCAACAAAGGCAGCTGACCAGCTTGTTTGCTTTACTGGACACCTGAAATTTCAGAAAGTGTCCTTGAGGTTTAACTAATGTGTCAAGACTTCAAAGGATGAAATATTGAGATAGGTAGTACTTTGCAAGATCTTGCGTTATGTCTTTCTCCTTTTTGTAGGAAATTGAAGATAACTCATATCATACCATTAATCACTCTTAACTAAAATTAGAGAAAAAAGGAGGCCTCGAAGTATTCCTGTTTCATTTTAGAGCTCTCTATTTTCCTCAACAGTGATTTCAAGGTTGTCTGTGACACAACAACTCTGTTGCCCGACAGCTCCCCAGTGCCTCAGCTGAAATGACTTGCTGCTCTCAAGTCAGTTCCTAATTTTTTTCCCCTGGCAATGGCATCAATTATCAGGGCTGTTAGGAGCTCCAGCAGAAAGGCCAGAGATCCTTCGGATATGATGGTTCCTGCTGTTACAGCTGCTTTCTCCTACCTGGCGCTGATGTTCATTAGTATGGGATAGAGTCTGACACCAGCATTACTCCTGCTGTCGATAAAAACAAGACTTCAGACTCAGTGCCTACAGAATTCAAACAGGCTGACAGCCTTCAAACACAGCTTGGTTACTTCAGATATTATTTTTAGAATTTTTTTTTTTTTTTTTCAATATTGTATGAAATTCACAGCTGAAGTTAAACTCTCCATTACCTCAGGACATCCAGGAGCAATAGTTGACTTGAGGACATCGAAAGGTCTACATATGCTTTCCTTATGCCTCTGTGGGAGTGCTTCATTTCTCATTGCATTTGGATGCATTTTTACTTTTTTACATTGCATTTTACTGAGGTGTCATCAGTAGCATTTTCTCTAAATTGATGTTGTGCTGGAAAGTGATACTGTTCTATTACTCTTTGCAGGAGCACTCAGTGCTTGAAGTTCATTTTCAGCAGTTTTCCCTGAAAGGGATTCTTTCAGTTCAGGCTCAGATCTCAGACCTTTCTGGACTTCATTCATACGCAAAAATATGATACTGCATATTTTTAAGACATGGAATGTCATATTGAGGGTGGCCCTATGATGGCCCTCATTTTTTCACTCCCTGGTTACTACTGGGAAGAGTAAGGACACCTATATGTTCTGAAGCACTAGTGTATTACACACCAGTTATAAGGTG